AGGCAGGCAGACAGAGCACAGGAGTGCTGATGTAAGCAGAACCTACACAGTTTGCAGGGCAAAAAGCCTCATTCAAAAGCCACCTCACCTGAGCCCCCTGTATGCGTGAGCTTGGCAGCAAACAGGACAGGGATGAGCCTGTGACATGGCACCGCAGGGACAGGCATGGAAGGGGGTGCAGGGCATTGCAGTGAATGCCTTGGTCGAACATGACATCTAATAATGCCTGAATATGAGCTTTGTATTGAAATAAAAATTGCCTGAGATTTGAGCACTCCTCAGGTCACAAAAGTCACAAAAAGGGGAGACCTTTGGCATGAAAGATTTTTTTTTTCTTTCTTTCTTTTTTTTTTTTTTTTTTGTGCAGCAAGTGTCTTGCCTCAGCTTCAGCTGCCCCAAGGAAGGGCTTATTACAGTACATACACTGCAGCAGAAAACCAGGATCTTAACACACACTTGATTGTGATGCCCTGGAGTGCACTGGGTCTTCCTTTGTGACAGAAACATACCCCTCACAAGGCATAGTCAGGGCAAGGACACTGCTAGTGTCCTTTGACTTCTTTCTTGAATTTGTCAATCCTGCCTGTCTCTAGTATGGAAAAATATAAATAGTAGAAACAGATTTCTCACTCTCTGTTCAGGCAATTGTAAATATATTAATATTAGGAAATGGTTATAAGATTATAAATATTGAATAGCAAGAATTTAAAAGAGCCACAGCACTGAGCTGAGGATCTTCCAGGGAATCCTCCATGTCAATAGTCCCCAAACAGCATCTGGAAAGCCGAATTGTTCCCATTAACACTGCATGTAGACACAAGGATATGCTGTTAATTTGCTGTTAATTATGCTGTTAATTATGACCAAATTTCTGTCAGAAATACTAAAACAGCCTTCAATTGAGAAAGCAATGGAAATGCAGCAGCACATTTTTGAGGAAGTCTAGCTCTGTCTGCAGACACAAAGATAACACAGACTTGCCCTACCGAAAATGTTGGTTCTCATAGTGCGCTGTAGCAATTGCAAGCAGAAGCTCCTGCAAGCATTCAAGAATATCAAGTTTATTCTGAAAATCAGGTAATTTCCAAAGTGATGCTGTAACAGGATCACTGCCTTGGCAAGATGGCACTTCACCCCAGAACTCTGACACTGGGGAGTTGCACAGCATTGTGAAGCAGGATTGCTGACTCTTTGCCTTGCCCCCGATGAGGTTCATGTACTCAAAAAGTTACCCCAGAAGCAGCACAAAACTAGGTAGTTTGAAACTTTCAGTACAGGTGTGTGCAAAGATTATTGATAAATATGTTATTTTTTTCTCCTGTGCCAGTCTGCCCCCATGTCATGGAAAACTGGGAAATAAACACTGTAACAAACTTGTTAAGAAAAATAACATTACTTTATTAGTAACATTGGGTGCATGGGGAATTCTCCTTAAAACATACGTGTTCAGTAACCTAACAGACCACATTATATTCCTGAAACTAATAAACATTCATCACATTTCCTGAATACATGTAGGTATACTAATTATTTCAATTCAGTTGTTTGGATATGGTTGCGCATCTTGTGATGAAACTTTTCTCCTTGAGACTGTCAGGTCATAATGTACTTCTCTTACCATTCTTAGCTCTGACACACAATCCTTGTTCTCAAAACCAAGATATCAGCTAGTACATATTAATCACTGATAGAAGTAAACAAGGAAGCATTAGCTGGCACAAGACTTATTAGTCACAGATGTAGGGAGTTAACACAAAGCCACATTAATCTCTGGTATTTGCACTAAGCTCTGTATGGTACAAAACTGAGCATTAGCCATGAATACAGGGACCGTACACTAATGTGCTAAAGTTAAAAGAATTTTCCAACATCCTCCATCACTGCTGCATAGATACTTTTTACAGAAATATTACCTGTTCAATAACAACTAGGAGGCAAAAGCCATGTGAGCAAGAGGAGAAGGCAGGAAGCAAAGTTTCAGTGAAAAATGCTGCTAATGTTGACTTTCTCTTGCTCTATGCTCCACATATTTGCATGTGTTGTATATTACAGAGCAACACTATTTTGCTATTTTTGAAGGAGTTTTTCAAACTGCTTTAATGATATTAATGCACCTGTCCAAAGGTGTGCTTCCACATACCACCCCCCTCTCCTGTCTCCCACTATATGCACATGGTTTAAGGATTAGCTGCCCCAACCATTCATTTTTGCCTGTTCCTTCTCCCACCCTCCCCCGCAACTTACTCTGTTACACAGTCTCTCCTTGTTTGGGATCATATAATACACTTGCAGTTAGTGAAATGAAGTGGGTTAAAAACAATTTCAAAAGATAAAGAAATTTTATTGTGTCATGTCCTTTCAGTTTACAGCAACTTGAACAATCGTATTTACACAGCTGTGGAGGTAACAAAATCCCAACTATGGTATCCTTTGTAACCATTGAATTGGAAACCAAGAAGTGTTCAAATGGAAGCGCCTAACTTTCCAAACCAGCAGAGAACACCAGTAGATTAAAGAAAAATATCTTAAAAAGATGAACTAACATTTGCAGCAGAGACTCACAGAATCATTAGGGCTGGAAGGGAACTCTGTAGATTCCAGTCCAACCCTCCTGATGAGGTTACACAGGAACATGTCCAGGTGGGTTTTGAATATCTTCAGAGAGGGAGACTCAATGACTGCCCTGGGCAGGTGTTCCAGTGTTCTGCCACCCTCAACTGAAAGAAGCTCCTACTCACATTGAGGTGGAACTTCTTGTGTTTTAATTTATGGACACTGCTCTTTGTCCTATCTCTGGATGCCACTGAACAGAGCCTGACACCGTCTTCGGGTCACCCACCTCTGAGATATTTTTATGCATTAATAAGATCCTCTATTAGTCTTTTCTTCTCCAGACTGAACACATCCAACTCCCACAGTCTCTCCTTACAAGTGTGATGCTCCAGATCCTAAATCATCTTTCTAATCTTTGCTGAACCCTCTCCAGTATTTGGTTTTCTTATGTGTACTGAGTAGCCCAGAAATGGACACAGCACTCCAGAGCCAAGTAGAGGGGGAGGATTACCTCCCTTGGCCTGCTGGCCACACTCTTCCTGAATGGCCAAGGTTCTGATTCTTTTTCTTCCCTTTCTTTTCTCCTTAATTTTTGACAAACTTAATTCTTATGTAGCCACTTTTCCCAAAGTTACATGGAAACATCCAAATAAGTGCTCTGATTTAAAAAATTAAATTACCAGTGGTGTGCTGGAATTTAGATGGTGGGTTTGGTCTATACAGAGAATGTAATGGCATGCGTATACATGAGAAGGCATTATCATTATCAGCATCCTTGTCTTCCTTGAATATGAACTAGTGATTTTGCTGCTGCTGTTGTTTTTGTGAAAAGTGAAAAAGACAAAATAACTTTACACTGCTTTCAGGTCCTGTTACTTAAAATATTAATTTATTCAGATTCTTTCTTCACCTAAAAATAGCTAATTTCCCTATATCACTCACAAACGACCTTCACAGAAATAAGCGGGAAAAAACTAGAGAGATTTCAGGAAGCTATTGCACCTGGAAATATAAAATGAGGCACACGGTGGATATTGCAGATGGGCAGGTTTCACAGAAATTCACAGCTTAAACTTATTTTCATTGTGTTTGTTGCAATTTACATTCTCATGAGCATTCTGTCAGTTAGGGATGTACTTATTTGTGTGTATTGGATGAAAGAGAAGACTACAGGAACTGTCTAGCATTCCGAGCTGTGAAGATAAGATAGTTCTTTGATCATCGCATAATTTGTCTAGAGCTGATACTGTGAGCAAACCCTTGCAGTGGTGTTTACCCACATAAAATGACTTTATTGCTACAGTTGCCATCTTAAAACAGTTGTGAAGGCTGCCAGATACATCAGTAAGTCACAAATTCTAATCTGCCGTAGTTTTAATAATAAATGCATTATCATTTGTGATAATTGTTTATATTCACAATAAATACTACTTTATAAATAAAAAGGCAGTGTTTAGCTGAATGAATAGCATAAAAAACAGCATTTCTCCCACTGCAAAGAACCATTATGTCATATTAGAAAAACATCAGTTGTCACTGGCATGCAGCAGTGTTTCTAACTCAAATAAGCTCCATCCAGTACCCTAATAAACTTATGAAGTTTATTGTAGCTAAGATACAAGTTTTTGTAAAATTAAGCTAGAAATATCAAGCACTTTCAATGCTTTACTTTAACACTCCAGAATATTTCAAAAAATATTAAGAAGCTTGTGCAGAAGGAGAGTAGTAGACCATGAGGAAGATTCAGTTAACTTCTAATTAAAGACACACAGCTTTTCTTCTGCAATCTCCTCCCCATGCACTGCTCCAGCAAATTCACTGACCTGTTTTTTGTAAGGCGTTTAGCCTTTGTGGTTTTGATTTACCTTGAACACAAACACACATTTAGAATTTCTCATGAAGCTTATTTACTGAGTATTGACTTTTCTATCCTGTATCATCCTTCAAACTCAAACACAAAGGAGGAAGGACAGAAGAAATGTATGATCACAGCTTTGTTTTGTTTTATTTTTAATATCTCCACATAACAGAAGTTTTAAAAACCTGGCCAGCAGAATCTCAAGATCCCACTGGCGAATGTGAGGCACCAAAGGAACATGCTAGCTGACACGTGAGAGTAGGCCATGTATGCAGGGTTCTCAGTGGTAGCAGGGCACTGGACCTGTGGCCAGCCCACCCTTTATGCCTGTAATTGCCTAACACATTTGTTTAGCAGCTATTCTGTAAAGGCTCAGGCTTGTGTGCACCGAGGGAGCCTCACAGGACTACGCAATATGGGGTAAGCGCAATACTTTTGGATATCACATGGTGCTTACTGCTGATGGAAGCAGCCAACCAGTCTGAACACACTTTAGTTCCCTTTTCCTCCAGCACTTCTTGCCTAATATCCTGTGGAGAGCAGTTACTGTTCATGATAATGAAACCCACAAGTGTATCTTGTGAGAAGCAAGAACTCCTCTGTGAGAAGCAGAACTCCTCTTTAGCAAATAGACCAGGCTGTTAAGTTGTTACACCCAAGGATTGTCGCATTGAGGGAGCCCGTGTTACTGCTTATTTCAAAATACTGGAGAGCTTTGGGATATCCAGGTAAACTGTTGCACATCTTCATCTTAAAAACAAGCATGGAAAGTTCCAGAATAAATAGAATCAGTACAAGGTATTGAATATAGCTTAATTAACTAGTTGTAGATTTTACTTAGTTTAGGAGCTGAGCTGAAAAAAATTGACTTTTCTCTCTCAGAGTTTTGTAGTTAGTTCTCTGAAATTTTACTGAAAGTAATCCTAATTTAAGTGGCCTTTGCATTTTGGATAATAGCAGTAATGGTATCACTCAAAGGCAATTACTTTTTAGTTATCCTATCCCCTTTGCATTGTTTGTTGTTCGTTAAATTATGGGTAGGGTATAAATTAATGTACTATACTCTGGGTTAAGATGTCAGTGTATGTATTTTGTTAGTAGTTCATCAAGTATTTTCATCAAGTAGTCCGGAAAGTATTTTCCTTTCCAGGTATGAGTCAAAATGCTACTCAATGTCTTTAAATTGCACAAAATTTCCTTTAAAATCATGTGGGATCTGGAAATTCCCAAAATGATGGTAGGAACTTTGCAGTGACAGGAATTCAAATTTTTCTTCCTTGAGACTTGGAGCATTCACTTTAGTGGGATAACCAGACATTCATAAGACAGTTACTGTATACACTATATATATATATATAGGGTTCTGAGAGAAAAGAAATCTGTTTCATCTGTTTCATTTCAGGGCAGATCCTGAGAAAATTTACATTAATCTGAAATAAATAATTGATAAAGGGTATTAGCAAGCTCATGATAAAAATAAGCTTTAAAATAAAATTAAGTATAATGAAATTTTGTGTTTATATAAAACCATGTTGCAAAAAATGCAATAATTTTACAGAAATGGACATGAAGTTGTCTGTTTATGTCAGATAAAAATTCTTGATGGAAAAATTGAAGCCACCAAGCTTCTGTTGTTGAAGACCAAGTTGCCAGTGGTTGATAGTTCTTATTTTCGCTTAAACAGGTACCAAAACAAATCCACGTAGAGAGAAACTTTCTTGTGAGCCTGTTAGGACATAGAATGAAGAGATGATCATGCCTCCATTGATACTTTGACTTCATGCATAGTCTTTGACAAAAGCAGTTTGGGAACAAGATGAGATGTAATCTGACTATTCTGGTCAAGCCCTATGCCCTCACTCATCCTGGTCTCAAACTCATCTGAAACTGGTCTTTTATTTCTCTGCAGTATGAATAGCTGGTCTTATGATTAGATAGAAGGGGAGAAAATGTGGCAAAAGAGAGACAAGAAAGATGTAGAGAAATGTACAGTTGAAAAGATACAGAATACACTTTGACCGGGCTGGAATATTGCCTTGTCTAATTTTGACAACCATATGTCCTCATGTGTGCACTGTTTTTTTCTTGCTGCTGTTAGAGGGATGTTTGAAATTATGCTCTTAGGGTAACTCAGGGGCTGTCAGAGCTGTCAGCCTCTCACTGGGGAATCCCTTAGATTTCTCTCTATCCTTTCCATCCTAGAGGTCTTCCTTTCATAAAAACCCCAGACAGAAGAATAGCCTGTGTCCTCATCCTTAAGTATTATCTGATGAGGGCTCATTTCTCTTTCGTAGCAACCATTGTATTAGCAATTAGCATTTTATGAGCAAACTGTGTCTCTTTGTCTTCTTTTCACGCTTCTGCTACATACATTTATAGGCGCAGAGCATTGCAACTTCTCAGCTTCACTTCCAATGCACTTACTCTTAGAGGGACTCTTGAACTAGTAATTACAGCTAGACTCAAGGGGAGGAAAAGCAATTTGGAAATATCTTCTGGAAACAACAAATTTGCATAATGTTAATTCTGAGGTGCCTGGAAAAGAAAGTAGTCAAGCAATAATTTATCACAAATTCAGAATGACACTGCCACATATACAAAAATCTAGACTGCCTCAAATCTACTACCTTCAGTAGAAGTTATATAAGACTTATATAAATTTACAAAATAATGTTCAGGTCTGTATTTTTCTATAGTTCTCTTTGTAATTTTCCGTGCCATTTTTGTCCATTTTCTTATTCTTTATATCCTGCGCATAGGTTGGAGCTCAATGCCCTTAGTGGTTATCAACTTCTCTGGTTATTTCACTATCAAAGAATTCATAATTAAGCATAGTTTTCTTCTTAAAGGGATAGTTTTATAATATTTATTTTATTACTCTCTAACAAACTCATCAAGATCTGATTTTGAGTGTTAAAGGGTATATTTAAACCCCATCACTTGGGAATAGAAATGTAAAACTTGCAGTTGAGAAGAGAAAAGATGGGGGTTTTATCCTTTATAAATCAGATCTGTATGTATTTTGAATGAATTCTTTGTACAGTCAAAAAGTACATATTTTTCATTTGCCTAATTAATGATTGTATGCACACACATCTGCTATTCTGTTCACTGATCCAGTGATGCTGTTTAAAGAAAGCTTGGCCTCAAGGGCAAGTTGAACTGAAATAATCTTTTGGCTTCACCAAGACAGGAAAGTAAATAATAAAGTTATATTTACACCAAGGCAAAAAAATCCAAGAAACTTTTTTGTTTAGGCTGCCAGTTGAGACTGAAATATCCATACTAAACTCAGGAAGAATACAACTGAATGTTTTTATGTACTTTCGTGTTCTTAGTACAGTGTACTTCTGTACAGAAATGTGCAGCCATATTGTAAATTATGGAGAATTATATTTGTTAACACTGAGGTGTAACTAAGGTGTAGTATAACAGTTCTGTACAAGTTTAACTTGGTAGCTCTGCGAGTCTGCTGAAGGCTGTGGGAGGCTCTGAAAGCTCTGTGTATAAAAATATATCTATGGCATGAGAGCTAACACATAGGTATTGCTTTAGATTTGAGCAAACATTGAATAATGCAACCATCTTGTATTAAAGAAAATCTTACTTTGCTCCTTATGTGTTGCTTCCAGTTCAGATCAAAAGTTGAAAGCCGAAATATTTTGCACAGTTTCCAATAGAGATCAAAGACAATGTTCAGAAAATAACCCAAGTAGCTTTTGCATGAGACTCCTTTTTTGCACAGAGACTTGGCACTTTAGAGGGGAAGGGCAGGGGGAACTTAATCTCTCTTCAGAATCTTTTCAAGTTCCCATTTCATGATTTACAACCTACTCTACGTGATAATGATGTAGGTAACTGCTGTCGCTTCTGGGAAGGGAAGCACAGAGACTGTGGAGATTACTCTATGATCAGAGCCACAAGCAAAAAATTTTCTTTTTTTCCCCAGTTCCCCTATGCTTACCTGACCAGTCAGGCTCTGCATTAAAATCTGCATGACTTCTAATGTAACACAGCTTATGAAGGCAGAAGCTGGGCATATGCATTAAAGAGAAGCAAAAAGATTTCACCAAGTTTCTTACTCTGTTTTGATTCTTACTATTGCCTTTACCAAGTAAATGAAAGAGTCTTTATTTATAATTGTAAACTCTTCCACATATCCAGGAACATTTTCATCTTGCTGGGCTTGTAAATATGCATGACTAGGGCAAGGTTTGTTCAGAGTGTTGGGAAGAAATTTATTTTAAAAAATGCATTGGCACTCCTGACATGGCAGGAATGAATGGCTCAGTGCATTTGGAAGCATGTATGAATGTAATTCATGTAATTAATGTAATCTTGCTATTGCAAGTCTGAAACTCCTCAGAAACCATATATCATAATAATAACATTTTCTTCAAAGTCACATTCCCAGCTTCCTAAAGGTCTGCATGTTGAACGGCTCTTGCTTGTAAAAAGTACTGTCATTTGCACAGTACATTTTCTTATATTTCAAACAGAAGGAGTAGCAAAGCTATCAATTTATTGCTATGACTTTCAAAAGAAATTAGTAGCTGAGCTGGCCAAGCAGCTGATCAAATCCAAACTTAGAAGGTCTGAAGACTTCTGACATAAGCTATAATTACAGTATCTCTGGAGGTCTAGATTTTCTTATAGACCTTAGGAAAAAATAATTGATTAGTACAAAGTCAAAAGAGATCAGAGACAAAAGGCTTTTTTCTTCTCTCCGGCACTGAATTGTCTAAACTGGGTAAAATCAGGACCTTGTGAGGTATTGTGGGACAAATCCTGAATGATTAGTTATGCATATGCATACCTCTGCAATGTAATTGTGTGTGTCTGAGTGTGTATGCATAAAACAGCAGCATATGGCTTAACCCTGATAATCTCCATAGTAAATGTGTACTTCCTCCCTTCTTTATATGCACAAAAATACCCAACAATGCGGTCGCTGGGTATAAGTTTCATTATGTCTATCTTGTTTTGGCTGAATTTAATGTAAGTAATTTGTAGCTCAACACAATCGGTTTGGGAAAATTTAATTTCTTGACAATGCCAAAAGACTGGGGTAGTTACCTTTAAGTTGCAGAAGTCTCTCTCTCTCTCTCTCTATATATATATAACTACTCCAACTTAACACGCCATTTATGTAATGAGATACAAGCAAATGGAAAGCAAAAGGAGCAAAAGCCCAAGTGAGAAGCTTTTGTTATGAAGTAGAAAAAGGAAAAACACTGAGTACTTGCTGAACCATAGTAAGTCAAGACAGTTCATTCTTAAACCTCTAATTTTTTTCCAACCCCTCTTTGTTTTGTAGCAATACTCCTTGTTTTACAGACAGATGATTCAGAACCCTACCTAGTTTATCCACAAGGGTTACATTTTAACTCACACAGGAAATCCAGGTCCTACTTCTGAATAGTATGTATCAATGTATGTGCCACAGCTGCACCCCCTGCTGCCACTGCAAGCTGGGAAGAGGATTTCTTGCTCCATGCAGCTCCTGGAAACCCAAGGTGGCCCCTGCCCAGTGCAGTGGGACCAGCTCATTGCCTTTTGCTCCCGTCCTGCACTGATGTGTTTTATTTTTCCTGAATTCAAATGTATTGAACATTTGGGTTCCGTTCATAATTAAGACTGGTCCTGAAACTTATTGAATTGGGGTGACTAATTAAAATATCTATTTTTGAATGAAGCTGGATTTTATTATCTTGGAATTACATAACTTCTTTTTTTTTTTCAAATAAGAAATTTAGTAACTTTGACAATATCTGGGTATATTGATCATCATTTCTTTTAATTTTACTTCACATATTTTCATTTGCTACCTACACATGCACAGTTTTATTCAGATAAAAAATGGAGAAGAGAAACAAGGACAAAGTGAGAGTATGGGGAGCAGAAAGTAAAAAAAATTGCTGAGAAAGGAAAGAAAAATTGACACGCACATACATCAACCAGAAGAATTTGTTTTCACAGAGAAACTTGCAGTTCTCCAAAGAGTTAGGAGAAATAACATGAATCTGGTAGATTCCCCCAGGTTCCAGTACAGGAACTTCTTATCACAGCAAAATAAAATTTTTAAGTAGGTTGATTTTAAAGTTGTATGTAATTTCTTATGTTTATTTCACAACTCCAGAAGTAACCAGAAACTATAATATGCTCAAAAGGACTTGCAGTACCTGAAAGGCAACACCTGAATGAAAATTTCAAAAAATCGTATAACCACTGCAAGGATACAACAAAATGCTCAGCCTCTCTTAACACTACAGGAAGATGAGCTATAGCACCTCGTCAGCCAATCAGCAGTAGTAAAGCCTCAGACCAGGAAACTCTTTAAAGTACAGTATTTGTGAACATTGCAACAGTACTTTCCCATTGCTGCCCTTTGTTTTTCTCTTCTTTATGTTTGTAGAATCAGAAGCCACGGGTGAAGTTCATCATGGAGAAATTTGAGAGATGTAACAGAGACACAGAGGATCCTTCAAACAGCCGACCCATCAAAATCCCAAGAAAAGATGCAGCCAAAGGATTACAGATGAGGAAAGCAATATTTGAGGAATGTACAGATAAAGGATGTACTGCGTTTCCTCCAGGACCCAGTACCCTTCACAAACCTGTTCAGTCTAAGCCTCCTATGGCAGTCAAGCCTTCAAGTGATGACAAAACAGACAAAGATCCAAACCCACCACATTTGAAACCAGTGACACAAAGGTTTGGTGTTCAGCTTCAGCCCATTAACAGAGGAAATGATGAAAAAGCTGGATGCAGTAAATTCTCTATCAAAACCAGTGACCCATCAAAAGAGGACCCAAAGCCTTCGAACCCAAAACCTGCACAGAACAAGTTCCTTGCTCCTCCTAATAAAGAAAAAAATCCTCTGGGACCAAAACCTAATTTAAATTTTGCATCACAGGAGAATGAGGCAAAACCAGAATTTTCAAAAGTAGCTGCAGTTAAAGAAAAATTAAGGTCTGCAACACAAGAAAATGAGCCCAAGCCTCCTGTTTCTAAACCACCTCTTGCTCAGAAACCTTCCCTAAACAATGAGGTATCTCAGAATGAAAACACTTCTTATAAAAGTGGTTTTCGGCAAAGACCGTCTGCACCCAGAAAAAACATACATGCACACCAAGTAGCAAAGGAAATGGGTGAAAATAGTAACTCTGCTGCAGAAGCTCCAGGCAGTAATATTCCTAAAATAGCTCTGAAGCCTACTGGCCATGGGTACAGCTTACCAAAAGGACCCCCCAAAACAATGGCAGATAACTCTGAAGAAAAGGGAATGAGTGCTGCCAAGAACATCTTCCTCAAGAAAATCACCCAGGAAGAAGCAGGTTCTTCTCATAAATTCCTTAAGACAAATATGGCACTTGCTGCAGGAAGACCATCAGGTGAATCAAAAGAGAATGAGGAGAGGAGGTCTACAATGCCCAGGCTGAAAGTCTTGCCCCAAGGGCTCAAGCCGAGCCAGCCCCCACAAAAACCCGACAGACCCCTCACTGTGGACCTGGAAATCTTCCAGAAGACCTGCCAGGAAAACAGTAAGTCCACTCTGTTCTTTCTTCCTTGGATATTAGCTTTTTGATGCACTTAGAACCAGGTTAATTTCAAATGGAATCTCCTCTTCTGTTCAGAAATAACTTGTGCATCAGAAAACCCTTTAAAGCTGTAACTTGGGCTTCTGTCTCTTTTCTACAATTAAAATTGTATTTTCTATCCTTCAGTGATAAAGTTCAGGAAGAATGTTTACTGTATTGAGTTCACTTGTTTCTTAAAACTACTGAGATGCAGCTATAACTTGTGTCAGGGAGTATTTTCTCAACAAGCACTTAAGTCCTGACATAATTAAACAGATCGAACTTAGATACTTCAATTTTAAGTCTAGTTAGTGAGAAAGGGGGATGCCAAATGGTGTGATTCGGAGCTCTGAAGTTGCTTATAGTGGAGTGGATCTCTAACTCCACATCACATGTGTGGTATATCAGGTTCATTCATGTAATTTAGTTGATACATAATTTGTCCTTGTACCTTCTGTGTCTAGAATGGCACCTTCTGTGTCTGTGTCTGTGTCTGTGTCTAGAAACAGCATGGCTTGTGTTTCAGCAGTTCTGAATACACATAAGACTGGTCTTCCTGAGGCAGAAGAGGTCCAGAGGGGCTATGGCAGCATGAAAAATCTCAGAGCTGATTTCTCTTAAGAGAAAAAACCTCATTAAAAACACAGTGCCTGCATGCAGCTATATATTGTGTTGCTAGTAATTTCACTCAAAGATTAGGAGTGTATCGGTAATAAAAAAAATTGCTTTCTTTTCAGCTGCTGTGTTCTGGTTTTCATCTGCTACCTTACAGTTAAGGAAATGTTCTCACAAATCCAAGATCAGGCCAAGATCCTCAAATGATGCAAATTTGTGTATATATTTGTGACATATTTAAGACAAATATGCCCATATACAATCTCTATACAGAAAGACAGCATTTTCAGCCAACTGCACAAGTAAATGTTTTGGTTATGTAAGAAAAGTAAGAGCTTTGCTAGTTAAAACTTTGAGAAATCCTGACAATGGCTGGAAATACAGAAAATGACAATTTATTTAAAATACATTTTAAAATTTACTTTAAGTAATTAATTGAAGAATCTTTATTTGTTGTTCTGCTCATTGTTTATTCAGATTTTTTTTTTTCTGGTTCCCATTCAATTATAGTCACAAAGCATTTTTTTCATTCTCTTTTTAAAACTGAGCATAAGAAATATTTAGCCTGTGTATTTCAAATTAACACTGTGAGCAGGGCTGTAAGAATAATATCAGAATTTTTGTTAGAAGGAGGGTGTCCAGTTGTTAGTAACCAGGGGTAAGAGCAGCCACTACCTTGACAGTCATAGGAACATGAGCTAAGGATGGAGCTGGCCAGCATGGTGGTCCAGGTGGTTTTCCAATTGTGTTGCAAAACTCACAACTAAGTAGAAATTAACGATCAGACATGGTCTTCTCTATCTCACAGTCATAGGGGCAGGTCAAGAGTGAAATATTTAGAAACCATATCCATGAGAAGCTGTCCCTGGACTTCAGCCTTCACTCAGAGAGCTGGCATGTAGACCTTGATATTCAATTTGGCTTTAATTAATGCAGCCCATTTCATTGTGGCCGAAAGTCTACACAGAACAATTCTGGTGGACAGACAAGTTATTCTAGAGTGAATCCTGAACAAACTCCTTTTCAGCTCCACAGTTATTGATTGTTGATGGGTTTCTTGGAATATAAATAACAAAATCTACCTGCTTTGGAAGGGCAGTTAAACTGAACTGTGTTTTTTTTCTTAACTGTTATTTCAAGAATCAAAGTCATGTCAGGAAGACACCACCCTCACAGCACAAAATCTTCCCGTTCATTACTGTGTCCTGGTGAACAGAAGGTTTCCATAGTTGCTTAATTTGCTGCTGTGATTCAGGTGCTGAAAATAAAGAAGGTTAAGCAAATGAAAATAATTGTTCTATTCAACAAAGCTTTCTGAGATCTAACCTTTGGAGCTTTTGTTCTGTAATAGGGCAAAAGTTAGGCTTTGCATTGTTCTTTGAGGAGAAAACCTCCACACATAGTGGTTTTTACACTTGTGTTAGGGGCATGTGCCTGCACTTTAGAAAACCTTGTATCGCCTGATTTAAAACAGGAGTTTGAATTCTGCTTTCTCAGAAGTATCAATTCACACCTTTTTCTTTGGTTGTTATCCTTTCCCATGAAACCTGTTTTACTGGTTTTTGAAAATAAGTATTCACTGGGCATGAAATGACATTAAATGTTAGAGGCTGAAGGACTTAGCTTTGACACAGAAGTCTTAGTTAAGTGTGGGAGAAGGATTTTAGTCATCCACCATGACTGCATGAATACTAAGGGATGTTAGTTTGATGTTGGCCTTGTCCTGAAAAACCTAGTCCTGAAAAACTTTTCATGATAAAAACTTCTGTAGATATAAATGTCTTTTTCAAGAAAGTCTCACTATTGACATGCTACTATTTTCCAGTGAAGGCAGGCTTTAAGAAATTCCCTGTCTGGGCCTGCATATACATGGCAGAATAGTAAATTCCTGTGTTATGTCCCATTGCAGCAATTTTCCATGACGGATCAAATTTACCTCAGCTAAGAATCAATGAAGTGCATGTGCCTTCTGTGTTCAGAAAACAATAACAACTATATTGTTTTACAATAAACACCCAAGGTCTTAGAAAAAAGGAAAAGAAACAAAGTCATTTTGCTGACAGCTTTCCATGTGAGGCCACAACTGTAGTGTTGCTTCCCGAGGAGAACCACAGCGGCGCAGTGGGACCATACAGGTACAGGTGGCCACACACACAAAGCCCCTAGTGCTCTACACACCTCTACATAACTCCTGAACAACAAACACCAGGGTTTCCATTTTATTCAGTGAATAAAAAGTGGGTGCATGCTGTCAGTCTTCTTCAGTCAGGGAGAAAATTCCTCAGAATTTTTAAGAGCCTCCACAACAAAGAATGTTAAGGCTGTGGAGGAAACCCTACCACTCTGGATTTTTTTAAGCATTACCTTAAAAGGTCAAGGGTTTGTCACATAATTCTCCTAAAACGTGTGGACAAAACTGTAAACTAAACTGCCAGTATGGCTTACAACATTGAAAAAGATAAATCACTGCAATTTAAAAATTAATTCCATCATCCTTAAAGAAATATGAATGAGATCATTATTTATCTGTCTTAGTTAGTTAGTTAGTTAGTTAGTCAGTCTGTCTAAGATTGCCTAAGAAAACAGATAAACCAACATTGAATGTTTCCTTGCAGGTGATTGTTCAGAGTGCAACTTGCTGCTGTTGTGTATAAAGAAGGAAAAGTACATAAAACTCACTGCAAATTAATATTTAAACTCATTATGCTTGATTATTGCCTTAGCTACAATGTTCTGCAACATTTTCCAAATGTCTTAGAGTATATTTTTATTTTTAAGGGAATAAATTGTATCCATTTAACATCAGGAGACACCTCTCCATTGTGAATGGTCAAAGCTTCTGCAACTGGCAGAAGATCTCCTAAGTATCTCCGTTTTTGTTTGTTATGGCTTATGTGCCACACTTGTTCCCTTCAAGATTATCTGATTCTAGAAAATTAACAGTAGAGATGTGGATTGTTTTTATCACAGGATGGAGACACAGAAAACTACTTTTCTCATGTATACACTTGTTATAGTCTGCACATGAATTCTGGTGTTGTTTGTGCAGCTGACTGCTCTAAATTCCATTGAGTCAGCTAAAACCACTCCTGAGTGGAGAAACTAAGATGAAGAATTTAGGACTCAGAAGAGAAACCATGCAAATGTGCCTGTTAATTTTGGTAATAGGTTTGACATGTAATTGGAATGGCTTTGAAACCCCTTCTGTTTTGAATCAAAGTATATGCATAACATATTCACTCAATAGGTCTGGACCTCTGCAAAGGACTGAATGAAGCACGTGAGGTATTATGCTCTACTTGAAACCATTGCCCACCTTCCAACAGGGTCGGTGCTGGATGGATTTAACACAGTGCCTCGAGGATTACACTATGTATGACAGCAGCCTTTGAGAAAAAGTGCTAAGAGGGGAAGTTAGAAAGGAAAACTCATAAGGATGTAGAAAAAAGACAACTATGAGTTTCTCATGGAAGGTTACAGAAAGGAAGCTGCTGAAGAGAAAAAAGTAAAACTGATGGAACAGAGTTATACCTTCTGCTTAGTAAAATTCCCTTAATTTAATTTCTGAAATCTTGTTCTTTTATTCACTCATTTTGATTCACAAGAAGAAACACCTATTTAAGCACCTTCATCATGTGGTTGCATTATATGGGTTACAATACAAAAGCATCTCTGCTGTACCAACACCTCACCTCTTCTGAAACCTGTCCAGATTCCAGAAAAGAATGTGAACACAGAGCATATTTAATTGACAGATTGAAAAAGTTATAAGAACTGGCTGAAATTTTCCCATTCTTTAAGTTGACACATATTTTGCTTAAAGCCTACCTTACAACTTTTTTTTGCAAGAGAGTGTATCCAGCATATCATACTATTTTATAGACAGCTTTATGGTCAAGTTGGAGATTATCTTGTTTTCCCTGACGCACAGAAGTACTGTAGTGATGGAGTTCTGGACATGTTCCTGGTACCATTGCTGTAGTATACATCTTGAACACAAAAGGTCTAGCTCCAAAAAAAAATACAGCTTTGTAGTCTGTTTACTTGTAATTACAGGAATGATTAGCATATACTTCTCATAATTGAAGCTTGATATGTACTGAAATTCTCTCTGAGCTGAAAGTTCTAATTTGTTTGTACTCTTTTAAGTATTTCCTTAGCAGCTCACAGAGGTAAAACTTATGCAGCATGGGTAATGTTTGAATTTGAAACAATCTGTGCCCTACTGGTGCAAGTATTTTCACCTTTTTATTTTCTAGACCTATATTGGTTCACAGGGAGGAATGTTCTTAATAAATCTTCATCATTTGGTAGCATTGCATGGGTAATAATACAGTACAAATGAATAT